TATTTATCTATGGCTAGGGCTTAGGTACAACTGTTAATTGAGAATTAAGAAGAATTATCTGGAAAAGCAGAAATCGAAAAAAAAAATGCTCTCAGAATGTAACTTGATATTAATGTGATTACTTCTACTATACCTGCTCCGTTATTCTCAAGGAGAGTATGTCTTGTATTACAGAAAAGGATAACCTGTATCAGAATAATCTGGGATGCTTTGCTAAAACTGCAGAATCCCTAAAGGTAAAGAATCAATCTTTGGGTATGGATACCAGGTGATTCTTACGTACACTAATATTTGAGAACCAGTGCTGAGGCAGATGTTGCAATGATACTTTTCTGCAACTTAAAGAAATAACACATGTATAAAAATAACACTAGTTAAAAAGGTGATGACAAAGCTGATTTGAAAGAGTAATAGTCAATACTTAATAATTGCATAAATGAGTAGATATGAATGAATTATAGAAACCTATAACCTCATTTTTAATCTTCCACATCCTTTCTTGGTAGGTATTTTTAAATCAAATGTAATTTTTAATAAATGAAGAAACTAAAGTTTAAATTATTTGAGAAACTTGCCAAAATGTGACCGAGTTGGCAAATGGAGTATACAAGTATTTCAGCTCTTAAGTTCTGAGCTTTTACCCACCATACAGCCTTAAGAGGGCAAGAATGCCAGAACAGATGTGTACCCAAATAACTGTACTATATATATAGTATTGAACAATATATGTAAAATGATAAAACAAAATGATGACATGAAGGTATACTTCTCTGGAGGAGTTGGGAAAAGCTTTAGAGTAGCTCCTGTATGAAGCCAAGTCTTAAGGATAAGCAGAAAAGTTCCAGATAGGGAAGCATTTCAGACAGTTATGGGGTAGTCAATAAAAAGCTAGAAGTTTGGTAAGGGTGGAGCATAGGGAAATGAAAGGAAATGGTTGGAATCTTGTTGAAGTCTGATAATACAGAGCCTTTTATGCCAAACAAAGAGGCTAAAGCTTCATCTTGTGATGGAGTAACAGGGAATCACAGAGTGTTGCTATACAATAAAGGAGGGGATTTTTAGAAGAAAGACAATTTTGGTAGAAAGATTAATTTACGTGTTGAAGAGTTTAAGTATAAGGAGTCTATAAACATCTAGATGTCAGCAGGCAGCTCTCTCTGCAGTTTCAAAAAGAGGACTGGCTAAAGATATGCATTAGTAGTTACCACTGTATTGAGAGTAGGTAATTTTTTTTTTGTAAGAGTGATAAAACTACAAAGAATGTTCCAAAGTGTAACTGTTATTGACTGATGTGGTAGTTTTAAAAAAAACAGTCATGGAGAAGACTGCCCAAGAAGAGAATGCAGAGTGAATATATGAAGTCACTTCAAAAAGTCTGTGGAAAAATATAATTAAAAGACAATATGAATCTTACCATAAACTTCCTTATACATACAGTACTAGGATGAAACTCTAGGGAACAACAAAATTCAAAAGGCACATAACGAAAGAAGAGCCAGGGCAGGTGATGGAGAAGGAATGGTCAGAAAGGAAGAAGGATAACGGCAGAGTTTTATGACAGAATGGTCAATAGTGTTAAATGGTGAAAAGTAAGATGAGACTTGAAGACTAGACGCCAGATTTAACAATTAAGAAGTTAGTGGTAACCTATGACTTTCAGTAAAGCAACAAAAAGCAAATTTTTAAGTTTCTGTGGTTTTTCCTTGTCATCATCAGAATAAATACCCAAATGATTACAATTATATATATATATATA